GAGATGTATCACTACGCATCGAGATGTATCACTACGCATCGAGATGTCTCACATAATTCTGTGAAAAGTGAAGCAAATAACAAAAGTAGCCCCATGTTGTTTTCTTCTTTTGTCTGTCAAGCAGTTCATATTTTTTGTTTTAGTGGATTATTTGCCATTTAAATATGATCAAGTTAAATATTTAACTGCACAGTTATGTAGAAGTGTACAAATACGAAAGTTGGTAGCAGTATTGCACATTTCAAAATGTTGAAAGTTGTACGCCAAGTCTCATTATCAAGATGAAAATAAAAATGAGAAAACTATTCCTATTTATTTATAGGCTCCAGTTCCCCCCGCGACCCCATCAGGGAATAAGTGGTATTGATAATGGATGGATGGATGGATGGATTCCTATTTTTGCCAGCAAGAAACGCATTTAATTTTCTGTGCAAAGATGTCGTGAATATTTGTTAAAGCTTTGAAATTCTTAACTTTTGTGGAAAGCAAATAAGACAAACCAAAGGCGCTCCTGAAAAGTTACACAGTAGGGGCAGCAGAGGGCGACAACGCTTTCCATCCGCCGGAATTTCAACGTTGAGTCCAGGAAAAGCGACAGGAGAAGAAGAAGAATTCTGTTAAACCTCGTGAAGCGGGAATTGACAGTTCTCCAGCATGGACTGGTAAATTACGTTATTTCATAAAGCGTAACACTTAACCAGCGTCTGCACGTGTGTATATTTAGTCCCGTGTTTATGTTTCTGTGCTAGACTACTACCCCGCTTGCACGCTGTAGGTGATTCTGCTGTGCTAGCTGAGGCTAACGGTGCTAACACTGCTAACAGCCCCGATGCTAACCGGCTAAGTTCTGTTGACGTACTTTGGTAGAACAGGTGGACCACGGAGAACGAAAATAAAAAGTTCTGTTAGAAAGAGCAGTGACAACATTTCATGTTTACAGTCAACATAAAGTCAAAGGTGACAGATCGATTTCAGCTTCATTCATTAAACAGTTTATGCTCTGGTTTCTGTCCCTAAGTTTTAACTTCTTCATTGTGTTGTTCTGTGTTCTGTAGACCTATTTTGATTTTACTTTTAACCAAATGCACATTGCAGAATACACCGTGGGCCTCTGTGGACATTTGTTATTAATATAATAGATGCAGATAAGATAAAGTGAATTGATCTGTAAAAACAAGTTTTTCTTAAAGACTATTCACAAAAGCACATGTGTACATTTGTAAGAAGTAACACAACTGTATTTTTCATTAAAAAAAATTAAACCGACACCATATTCTGCAGGCCGGTTTATGTAATCTAACAATAGCAACAATCACACACATCCACCTCACTTTAGCCAATAGCAACATGTCTAGCATGTAATGTATAAAATAGTCACTTACAGGGATTCTTATGAAAAGGTGTTTGTTGTGATGGGTTGAAAAAGCTTCTTTCCTTTTGCGTTGTATGATCCTTCAGGGGTCAGAGTGAGCTGCCCTCTCCTGTGGTTCGAGATGACGAGGTCACAATTGCTGCCCGCAGGCGGAAGAAGGTGGCCTGTATCCTTATATAACCTCAAAAAAATTTGAATTTGAACAGAATCGAAGTGTGGGAATCATTTGGTAACAGACAAAAATGGGTGAAATTAATTGAACTTGTTTAGAGTAGATCTGGAGTTATTATTCTTTTTCTTGTAGACTCAGCTCAAAACAAAAACAAACAATATAAAGACTGTCAGCGTTGTTGTTCTCTTGACTGGTTTCCTCAGTCCCATCACCTGACAGCCCTCTTGTTTCCGTGGCAACACCAGCCCGCTCCAGGCTGAGGAACACTCCTGCTTCCCTGTTCAGACAGGCCGGTAAGAGAAACACAGATTTCAAACTGATCTTTGCTGTTCTTCAAAGTTTCAAAGCTTGGCTCATACCTGGCCTCGTAAATCTGTCTCTCAGTAACTCCCAGAGTTCCAGATGTTTCCTCCATCTTGGGACCAGGAGGTCGAACACCTCGATACACACACACACCGAGGAACGCCCTCGGCAGCATGGTAAGAGTTGTGCGCCTGCGCAGATGTCCACCTTTAACTGGGATGCTCTGTTATACAGAAAGTGATGATTTGTGTTTAGAACTTGGACGACAGTGACTGGACCAACAGCTTGTACACATCCCCGGTGTCCGGCATGGAAAACACCAGCTTCTTCAAAGACGACGTCACAAACCTCAGCTCGGCGCTGCTAAAGGAAGACGACCCGGGGGAGGCGGGTGAATAAAACAAACGCACCACACCCCGCTCTCATACACTTTTAAAGCGCGCACCTTTTAAGATCGGACCTGTGTCTCGTCAGCGGCCGCCAGTCTGTTTCCGGAGTTCCTGGCGTCCTTTCTGAAACACTCTTCCTCTGCTGTGTTTGACCTGCTGGATGGCTATCAGGAACTCTGCCAGGACAAGGTAGAGAGTTAAGACGTGTGGCATGATACTGAGGAGAAAAGCGAGTTGTGCTAGTCTTCTTAAATTCTCTGAGCAACAAAAATATTTCCCCAAAAAGTCGACATATTTCAAATGGTACAAAGCTAAAAGAAGCTCAGCTTAACTGTGCTTAACAATGCAACCTAAAGAAATAGTTAGCATAGCCTTCTGTGCAGATATAACAACATAAACCTGAGCAAACGCCTCCAGTCATTCTCTGTCTCCATATCTAAGGTGGATGTGCTGCAGTCGGTGGTGCTGAGAGCGGGCCAGAACAGTAAAACGGCAGGAGTTCGCTGGCTGCTGCAGCAGGAGAACTGCACCTGGAGGCTGGTTGCCTCTCTGTACAGGTACCAGATGACCGGTGGAGCCCCTCCCCTCCCGGTGTGACCGGTGGAGCATATGTCTCAGATTTCTCCGCTCTGTTTCCGCAGGGATCGGGTCCAGTTGGAAATGGAAGATGACATCTTGACGGACGTGGTTGTAAGTGACAGATTAGGCTGCTAACACCCAGCGTTTGAACACGCTCTTCCATAAAAATGGCTAGCGTGTGTTGAGCTTCTAACATCTAATACTTAACGTTTTCTCTTTCAAGTCCTGTTGTGCTGTGATGGTGATTTTTCTTTGTTTTGACTGAGCAGGTTCCCAGTGAGAGTGAGAAGGTTGTGGTGGAGCAGCTTTTCCAGCGGGACTCCGTTATACGACAGAGTCAGGTAACATTTAGGAGCACTGGTTCATATATTAACTAGAATAGATTGTGAACACTTAACTAGCCCATCAAAGTAAAATGATTTTGATCTTCGTAGTTATTGTAGATTCTTGTTATTACAGGATTTAAGCTCTCATCAATATCTAGTATTCTCATTACTTTCCTCTATTGTGTTAAAACTTCTTTATTCTTTTTAGTATCCCAACCTATTGTTTTAGTACGTCACTCAGATACCCTGAAAAAGACCTGTTGCTCATATGCCTTTGGCCTGATGGAACAAACCTGGTTCCTCTAAGACATTATTTGTGCACAGTTTGTTTTCTGGCTGTTCATGATGTCCTCATTCTGTTGCAGCTGGTTGTCGATTGGCTGGAGAGCATCGCTAGGGATCAGATCGGAGATTTCTCGGACAACATCGAGTACTACGCCAAAAACGTGTGCTGGTGAGTGTCCAGCCGTTTCGTTTCAGGTGTAAAGTCTACAGGAGGGAACACATCAGTGATGTGTGTGTGTGTGTGTGTGTTTCAGGGAGAACACCCTTCATGCGCTGAAGATGAGGAGGAAGAGCGGCGCTGCCTTCACCGTCCCTCTGGTCACAGAGCTGGTGAGGCCTGTTGCCACAGAAACGGGCGCCTTTTTCTCTCCGTGGGCGACTCCTTACTGACCTCACGTTTCTGGTTCCAGGACCCGGACGCCCCCCTTCGGCAGCAGCGCCCGCTGGCGGACCTGGACCGGGAGGACGACGCCCGACTGCTGAAGAACCTCTTCACTCTGATCCGAGCGGGGATGACCGACGAGGTGAATGCACAACCGATGATGAAATCCAGTTAATTTTTTACTTTTAAACCAGTCGAATGCCGTTCATAGTGATGCATAAATGACGCTGTGTATGTTTTGTGTGGGCATGTTAGCCTGAGTTTAAAAAAATAACTCTTTTTTGGTGATTAGTTTATATTTGATCTGTTTTCAGCACAAATGTTCTTTTTCTTTCTTTTTTTTTTCAAATATTTTCTTTTCACAAGTACTGAAACCAAAGATAACCTCAGAAATCTATGAGCTGACCCATATACTGCTCTTTTGGGGCTAGCAATAATGGTCTGTCATTACTCAGGCCCTAAAAATACAACCCAAAAAAGGCTAAATAGATGGCTAAATGCTCAGTCATTTTAGGGGCCTTCTCCTTACAGGGGGACACTCCTGTTGTCTCTGTGTTTAGATACCAGCAGCATCTTATTGCGCTGCTGTGTGTGTGTTTGAAGGCTCAAAGGCTGTGTAAACGCTGTGGCCAGGCCTGGAGAGCAGCCACCCTGGAAGGCTGGAAGCTGTACCACGACCCAAACATGACATCAGGTAACATTAAGGAGTCATTCAGACGTGAAAACAATTGCAAAACTGACTTTTGGTTGACTTTTAAAACAACCTTTTACATTGATTTAGCTGTAATGTTGCTAAGAAGACCACCATGTGTCCCATTCATTTTTGACAAACAAGTGGATTTCAACAGTGTGCGTTTCTCAGTGGGTTTGAACCCTGAACTGCGTGGAAAATCTTGCTCCCTCATCCATCTGTACTTGGCTCCTCTCCCTGCAGGAAGCTTGGAGCTGCAGCCTGTTGAAGGAAACCCACAGAGAGCAATCTGGAAGGCCTGCTGCTGGAGGATGGCTGAAGAGGTACAACACACACACGCTGTGTGTGTTCTCCACAGGCCTCCAGCAAACTGAAGCTCAAAAGACAAAACCAGACAAGCTGCAATCTGCTGTTTGTGTTTCAGGAGCAGCTAAACAGATATGAGCGAGCCATCTATGCCAGCCTGAGCGGGAACATTAGACCTGTAAGTCCATTCCTTTGCATTTTCTACGATGTTTCTTGCACAAAAAGAAGACCGAGAGCTCCCAATTCAGAGACGACTGGGACATGTGCTTTGTGTTTACGTGTGTGTCAGCTCCTGGCAGTGTGCGAGTCGTGGGAGGACTGCGTCTGGGCCTACTTCAGAGTAATGGTGGACTCTCTGGTGGAAAAAGACCTCATGTCATCAGGCATGGCCGAGACAGAGGTGGAGACACTGCCGCGGGAGTACCTGGAGGCCAAGTACGGAACACAGGAAACGGCAAATGCTCAAAAGACGCAAAATAATTGTTATTTTGAGTGTTTTTTTTATTTTATTTTTAAATTAACTTGACTATGTCTGTCCCTCAGTTGGACCATGGAAAAGGTCTTTGAGGATCTTCAAGCATCAGAGTCAAAGGTGAACCTCGTGCTGACTGATTGGAAGCTGAATATGCATCTAACGGTACCTGACTCATCTGTGTTTCTCTGTGTGTGTTTCTGTGTGTGTGTGTGTGTGTGCACGCGCAGAGGGTCCTGGATGAGACCGGAGAGCATTACCACATCATCCAGAAGTTTATCATCCTGGGGGACTTGGATGGTGAGACCCTGCTGTGGGACACAAAATCCCAGATCTAAAGACCGCCGTGACCCTAAACCTCAGCGTGTGTTTTATCGCCGTCAGGTCTGTTGGAGGAGTTTTCCGATTGGCTGACTGCCTCTAAGCCCCTCCCCTCCCACCTGCTGCGTTTCATGACGCACCTCGTGCTGTTCTTCCGCACTCTGGGTTTGGCGTTAAAGGTAGAGGCCACAACGTTTTGCCGCATCAGAGCTTGGGAGTCTCCGGGTTATGTTTTCATTACTTTTTTGGGTTGTCTTTTAGGAGGAGCTGTGCGTGGATGTGCTGAAGGCCTACGTTTCCCTGCTGATTCGGGACCAGGAGACGGAGCTCGTGGCGAGCTACGTGGGCCAGCTACCGGCCGAGGTCGCCACCTCCCAGTACGCGGCCTTCCTGGAGACCATCACGCAGCCGGAGCTCCGCCCCCAGTGCCTGGAGCTGGCCACTAATGCGGGTGAGGTGGGGCGTTACAGACCGAGACCCGTAAGGCAACAGATGCTACTGCAGAGAGGGTTTGTTGTTGTTGCTTTTTGTTTCAAGTGTTTTTTTATTTTTCGTCTTTTTATTATTTTTGTTCACCGTAGGTCTGGATGTGTCTGCCATAACGCGGCTGGTGGTGGAGACAGTGAGAGACAGAGGGGACACCGAGTTTGTCAGCCACACACAGACGCTGGACACGGGAACTACAAAGGTTGAAAGCAAACAGCATTCATTCGATTCATCTTTGTCTCTTTTTTTCTCTCTAAAACTTAGTGAGAACATGTTTAAACCCAATTAAATGACCAAACTGGCCCTCATCACATCCACTCAGCATTTTGAACATTGTGATCTGCCAGGAGGACCAAAGGAAGATCGACGTCATCGACTGGCTGCTGTTCGACCCGGCCCATCGAGCTGAGGCTCTAAAGCAGTCCAACGCCATCATGAGGATGTTTCTGGGTAATTTCCTTATCTATTGACCGACTGAATACAGAAGCAAAAAGCAGTTTAATGGTGCAGCTCTGTCACAGCTTAAATATAACTGGATGGGAATGACATCTCATTTGGTTACCTGTCTGCTGCCACAAAATAGGAAAAGGGAAATGGGATAAAGTGTTCAGGCATTTATTATTACAGGATTACTTAAATCCAAATCATTCCGGGGTTATCTTGACCGATACAGCTGGAGTCAATCACAATTCGCTTTTGCTTGACAAGTAACAAATAAGTTGTAGAATGGTAGTCATGAGGAGGTCTCTTCTTTTTTTATCGCCGTTTAGTTCTGCAGAAACACGATGCAGCCAAGGCAGTGTTCTCTAAAGTACCCGAGGACTCCATGAGAGAGATTTACTGCCAGTGGACGGGGGTCGGTCAGACCACACCCCTACCGGCCGAGGATGAGAACGCCATCAGGGAGCACTTGTGCATCCGAGCCTATCTGGTCTGTTAAAGCTCTCTACTTCTAAATTACGTGATTACTAAAATCGAAGCGTGTTTTAAGTACGAGTTGAATCAGAGCAGTCTGGAATAGATAGTGTATATTAACGTTATTGTGTGTCATAATGTGTCTTACAGGAAGCTCACGATGCCTTCACTGACTGGTTAAGCCACAGCAGTACTGCACCCCAGAAACCAGCTCCCGCCCCCGAGGCCAAATTCACAGAGAGGGTAGCCAATGAGATGAGAGAGAAGGAGTACCAGGTACCTGCAGACACATATTTGATTGAATAAAATGTGTTTTGGTAGATGGGAGTAATAGGTTACCTGTAAAGGACTCCAGAACTATAAATAGGTAAAGTTTTCCCTTTTAGCTGGGTCTTTGGATCAGATGGAGTTAAATTGTATTTGATGCATTTGCATGAGTGGAACAACAGCTAGTTTAAACAGGAGAGGGGTCTGAAGGCTCTTATTCCTGTTTTACTCTTGTTAGCTCGGGGGGGAAATGAATCAAATAAGCCAATTGTTATGTGAGCCCAAGAATTTCTGTTGCTTCCCAGTTTGTTTGGCCGCCTGAGGGAGTGTAGGTCACACTTCGCCTCGTCGCCAATAAAGATGTTTGGGGAAATAAATACCAGAGAGCCAACATGTAAAGTCAGCTTTCCAGCCTTCGTAGCTTTTTGTTGGCTTCTGCTTGTATACATGCATAACGCCCCCAACATTTGCACACCTCCAGGTCAAATTTCTGGACTCTGACTCCTGTGGTTGTTCTTTATCCAGACCAGATTCCATTTGACAATGTGTGCGTTTGTGAGCGCTGCTGGGGTCAGCTGACACAAACAGAAGCGATACCCTCTGCTCCTTCAAACTGTAACAATCAATGAACCGACGGCACAAAGAATCTGCAATCGTTTTCTTTTTAGAATAAGCCTTTTTTTCCCCGTAAACTTTCACTCATTATTTGAAGGAGCAGCAGAACGTCCCAACAGGTCACATCAACCGGTCACTCCAACACTAATGTAGTGTTTAGAAAAGCAGGCGACACACCGCGTGGGCCCAACAGTAGTTTCCCAGTCCCACAGATCCTACTGCTTCCTGTCATCTAGCTGCACAGCTGGACCGAATAAGACATCAGATAAGTGCGGAAGGCAGTAAAATAAAAAGAAAAAAAACAGGATTTAAATAAGTTGCAGCTGAGTTCATACACAGGAAGCAAGTGTACATGACGCAGGGAAGAAAATTATTTAACGATCGGGTTCATTCCACCAAAACATGGCTTTTAAAATGCATTCAACTACAACAGCCAACACAAATCCAATATCCTAAATTACACACCAAATTATAGTCTCAGACATTTTGATGGAAGTGTTTATGGGTTATAAACCTGTCAGGGTAGTTTGTGTTTAATATTCTCTTAGATAGTCTACAGCACCCGTCCCACTGCACTCAGGTTTGGACCTTTTTAACGTGTCAAATCTTGTTTTGTGTTTTTGTTTTTTGCTTTAGGCCGCTCTGACTGCCTGGTCGAGCCGTCTGGATCATCAGACTGAGGATGTGAAAGAAAGAATCTATAACGTGCTGCTGTTCGTAGACGGAGGCTGGATGGTCGACAACAGACAGGTGACAGCAGCACACATCTGTTTGAGCTTCAGAATGTTTCAAATAGAGAGTTTGAAAGGTTTTTTTTTTTTTGGCCAGTTAGCTTAGCATCCAAACTAGAAATGGGTGCTTACATTTACTATTTAACCAAGGGAAACAACCATAAAATCAGCAGTTAAAAGTGCAATGGGGAAGCAGGATGAAGAAATGCAAGTGTTAGCCGTGATTAGTAACAGACCGACTGTTTCTTTGCTGAGAGGTCAGTAAGTTGGTGATTTTGTGTGTGCAGGAGTCGGAACCAGACGCCGAGCGCAGTCACCAGATGAGAGTGTTACGCTCTCTGTGCCTGCCTCGCCTCAGCTTCCTGCTGCTCAGTGTGCTGCAGAACTCATCCAGACACCAGGAGGCACTTCGGCTGGCTGACATCATCTCCTCCGACCAGCACCGCCTCTACCAGGTGACCAAACCTCTTTGGAAAATTCTGGCTTTTTGGTTAATTCCGCTTCAGTTCTGGGTTCGGCCAATAGATCGTGAATTGAGAATGGTGGGATTTAAGTTCCATTTAAAAATGTTTAGGCAGGAATGATGCATTAGAAGGTGATAACAGATGTCACAAATTCTCAATTAATTCACTGAGGAACGGGCTTTTGCTGTTTGTTTGTGTTCCATTTTGTCTTTCTTTTTATGCAGGTCTTCTCTAAAGAGGAGCTGAGGAGGTTTCTTCAGAAACTGCGGGAGTCGTCGCTTGCTCTGTTGGACCGAGGTCTTGACCCGCTGGGCTACGAGTTACAGCCTTGATCCCTCGCACATGTACACACAGACCCGTGTTTGAATCCCTGTTGCTTTTTCTGTATTTGATTATGTTTCTTTCTAAATAAAAACTGGTGTATCTTGTAGTGGTGAAGTGTTTGTTGTGTATTATTTATCAAAAATACTTGAGCTGGCAATTTCTCACTTGTTGTAGTCCAGCTACAAAGTATTTTTTTTTAAGAGTTTCTGGCTCTATAATCCAAGCTAAACACATTTTAAAGCTATTTTGCACGATTGTGCTCTTTGTGTTTCCCAGACATACGGATGATGTATGAATAAAGAATAAAACATTTATCAAGTTTGTTTCAGGTAAATTAAGACTAATGCACAAATTTCTAGTCTAAGATAGTTGTGAAGTCGTGTACAAATTTAACAGGAATATTCTTTTAGATTTTTATTACTTTAATAATTATATGCTTCTTTGTATATTGGACTTTTTTATGTATTGGTTAAGTCTTACAATATATTAAACAAATTAACAGTAGAAATAGTGAGAAACGGTAGTGGCAACCATACCACATTAAGTTTATTTTCATATTTAATAAGTTGATTTAAGCCTTAAAATGAGAGGTGATTACCAATGTATGCAGTTTATCACGTTAATTTATTTATCCGGAGAAGAAGTGTCAGTTTCCGGCCAGCAGGAGCGCCAACAGCAAGTCGATTACTGAAGCGCAGACAAAATACCAAGCATAACTGTGTGGATAAATGTCCTTTGGAAATAATATTGGACCTCTACTTAGTGTTAAGGTGAGTTAAATATGGGGGAACGTTATTATACCAGCCAATTGCAGTTTGAATGTAACAAACGCTACATGAAAGCGTGCTAGCAGTAGCAGGCCGCAAAGCCTCGAGGTGTCCTGATTGTCGTGTCCTAAATCGAAGAGTAACGACGCACGTTATGTTTTTTTTTGTTCGTTGTTGTCTAATACGAACTCTTAATACGAGAAATTACAATTATGTTATCATCTTCGCTTAGCATTTCTATGTTTGCATTGACCGGGTTCTGTGTTTTTTTAAATTATTTTTAAACACGCAACTCTGTTGCTATGTTTTTAGCCTCTCTGCTAAGATCCAAGGCTAACAGGAACTCTTCAGTAGTCTGTTCAAGTGAATGGAATCAGCTCACTGAGTTATTTTATTAAAAGTTTCGCCGATAAAAGTTAAGCTTTTTAAATGGTCGTTAAGTGTGAGCATTAATGTAACAGTTGCAAAAGTTGTTGAAAGGGAAGTTTCCTCCCATTTAATTAAAACAGACGGTTAGAACCAGGAGGAGGAGGGGACAACGGAACAAGTCTGGTCATATACTCCCGGCTCGCGCGGTTCTAGAACGCGTCATTCTTTGAGCGCAGTCATTCGGACCGTTGCCCGGACATCTTCAGTCGTCTGACAGGCTGGGCGGTGCTGGCTAAATGTGGCCCGAAGTTGCTCTGTTTTCTTTTTTAGGATTGACAGAATCACGTTGGTGGTGATTGGGATTAGAACAGTTAATGTATCAGTATCGTCAAAACTGTCTTTGAAGTTCTGCTCTCGTCTTTTTAAATTGGTTCAACATCCATTCACAGATTTAAGCTAGATCCAGTTTTAAGCTTTTAAAATTTAAATGCAAATTCAGTAGTTTTCATGTGCAAACAATATGTTTATGTATTTTCAAAGTTTCCTTTAATTTCATCCAACAATTTAAATGGAAAAAGGAAATTACTAATGATTATGCTAATTATATATTAGATCAAATCATTAATATTTAAATACTGTTCATTTGAAGCAATATGTCACTATTATGTCATGGTATGAATATTCTCCTTTACTGAGCGTCGTCTGGTCCTTCCTTTTTATTTTAAGAGGCAGAAGTTAGACAGTAGCTATTCTTTAATAATAATAAACATTTATAGTAAATAGATGAAGAATTCTTACACAGCTTTTACTATTAAAGAACTGTTTTTCCATATAATGCATAACTGTGCGTCTTCTAAGAAGGAAAACAATGTCCTAAGTGTCTGATGTGCTGCAGGAGTTGAAGAGGGAATTAGATCTGCCTCTCAGTTTGCTGAAAGACCAAAGGCACTCTTATTGTAGCTGTTTGCCTCCATGGATCTCTGGTTTGTGTGTAACCACTTGTGTGTGCCTGGCATAGTTTTTTTTTCCCCCTCTGTGGGCTGAGTCACTCTGAACTAGTCCCGGCATGTCTGCCACTTCTACGATTGAATCAGCTGTTGGAGTGAGTGTACAAGTGTGCACGTAACAGCTGTACAGCTGACTCAGCCTGGAGACTGAGCTGGCCCTGATAGGGCCCGGTAGGCCAGGCCTTTCTGGCTGGTCTAGTCCTGACATGTCTGAGCAGGAGTATAAGAGGCTGCAGTGGGGATGTTCCCCACTCTGACTGCACTTTATCTGCTTCTACTTGCACAGGATGGGCTGCTGAGGCCAATTTTCTCTGTAAATATGGGTAAGAATTCTCCTTTTTCAGGCCATGTCAGGCATTTACAGAAATTATATAAAAGTATATAACTGCTTTTTGCTGCTGTTGGTTGATCATTTCACTGATTTGTTAGTTCAATCTTCTGTGCCTGCTTTTTCACCTACCTATAGTAAAGGTCTGCATGTTTTGGACTAAAATAACTGAAAATGTCAAAAGCCTCCTTTTTCCTCCCTTTAAATATTTTAGAATCTTATTGATTAAAACAATTGATCACAGCAGTAATAATGAAGCCAGTCTTTAAACATATATATCTTACATTTCTATAGTTTTTTCACTTGGAAAAAGTACAATAATTAAATGTTTATGCTGTCGGTGTAGCTACTGAGCCCATTAAAAGTTAGCAGGTAAATTTCTGTTAAAACATCTCTTACTAATAGTTAATGTCTTGTTCTGACCCAACTTGATTATCGTCTTGAATCTAGTGAACATATGTTTTTATGGTGCTTGGTGTGTTTCAGCATTTCAGTTGTTGTTTTTTTTTCGCATAACAGACATATTATACATGTTCAAGATACAAGTGTATATGCTCAAAGTAAATGTGGCTAAAATGATTAATGAACAAATACAATGATGCTGTATGTGGCAGGGAGAGTTTGTGCATTTGACATAAATGTCATTATGATGACGCGGAGAAAGTTTATTTTTTCTCAGTGTAGGAGTTAATGCCTTTATCCATTTCCCAGTAATGTTTGAAATAAATGGACAAGTTCTGCTTTAAAGCTGCTTTAACATTTGACTCAGTTCATGGATTTGAGCCGTTGTGAGTAGAGTGCAACATGATATGACAACCATGTTTGTAACACAAATAGTTTTAAGCAGCTCTGTTCAGCAGTGGAGGTGTTTATTTATTTACTTTTATTTGTTGTAGGAATTTACTGCATGGTGCTCATTGATAAAGTCACTTTGTGCTTGATTGGCTTTTTCCCCAGAAACTTAAACTCGATTGAAGGAACATTTTATATGGAGGAATGAAACTGCCTTGACATGCATACAAAAATAAGTGGCTCAGTTAATACCTTTTTTTATCTTTTAAAATTATGTTCTCAGTTTCTGCTTCGTTGTGCAAATGAGGAGGTGGTCCTGAACTGAGTTATGTTGTGTTATTGTCATGTCCTGTGATCAAAGGCAGTTTAGTGTCAGACTTATGTCTCTCCTCATCATGTTACTCAAAGCTGAACAGTCTGAGCCAATCAGAACAATCCTGTGGGCCTTAAATGATAAGGAATGAGCAGGATCCAGCATTGCATACGACTGTGGCTGGTTGTTATGCTGAACGCAGGTCTTCATTGATTCTTACACTTGTGTGTACAATCCATTGTGTGTTTGTGCGCAGGAACACACAGATTCACCATGTCCGCCGAGGCAGAGCTCAACGTTGACGCCACAAATGAAAACATACTGGTGAGAGCAGCCGTTTTGTTCTGTCTGTTTTGCTCCGCTTTACTCAGCGTTCACTGTGTGACTGAGTGTTTTCCTGTTTGTGCATTCAGGTCAGACCAAAGGGAGAGTTTTGCTCTTTGCTGCAACACGCCGGAGCCACTAAAGATGTTTTCACCATGAAGGAGGTACACAACATTTAGTCAGCAGAGTTCCAGACCTGAAGAGACTGGACTGTTTTTAGTGTGCGCTCAGAACTTTAAATAGTTTTATAGGGCTTCACGGAAATGTCACTTTGGTCTGAACTCAGTCAGCTGTTTATCATCACGCATGGCTAAGGAATTGGAAATCTGTTTTATAATGAGAAGCAGAATTTGTTCCTGGATTTGGACAGACCAGATCAAACCACTGATTCTGTTTTTACAGGCTACTCAGATTTGGGCTCTTTGACCTGTAAAGAGTTGTCGCTTGCTCCCTGATTTGTGTTTTGTGCTCTGCAGGTGATGTTCTACCTGGGTCAGTACATCATGCAAAAGCAGCTGTATGACCAGAAGCAGCAGCACATAGTCCACTGCGCCCAGGACGCTCTGGGCCGCGTGCTGGGGGTGGACAGCTTCTCCGTGAAAGAGCCACGGTGAGTCGGGGGGCGCCGGGATGTTTGGATTTCCTAGTTCTGCGTGAGAGTGTGCGGGATGAAACAAAAACGCCTTTATGTTTCAGAGTTCTGTTTGCAATGATCACCAAGAACCTTGTGGCCGTGAAGAACCAAGGTAGAGCCTCCTCCTCTCAGTGCTTCTCATCCTCTGTTCTGTGTGTATGAAGCTGGAGATGAAGCTTTCTGTTCTGTTACACTAGAAAAACATCTTTTCTCATGAAATCACGAACTTTGGAAGTTATTCCACAGTTCTATTTACACATTCAGGGCAGGTTGTTTTTGTGCTTAAAAGCTTGTGTACAAATGCTCCTAAAATGTGAGCCATGCTGCTTTTCAAATTCTCAGAAAACTAAGCAGTCTTTCTCTTTTTTCTCCACCCTTTAAGATTCAACATTGAATTCGAGTGAATCACACGACAGTTCGACAGACCGAGGGACGGAGGTAAGACACGTTCAGCCTCACCACTGCAGAGGTGTTGCCATAGCAACGCCAGCTACAAAACAGACCTCGTCCTCAGGAGCTTACAGCTGAGGCTTACACGCATGCCAGTTTGGCAGGAGTCTGCTTAAGCTTTGAATTTAAGACGGTGACGTCCGAGAAATGGACTGAATCTGACTTTCCCGTCCAAACCCGGTCAGGCGGCAGACACAGAGGGTCACTCTTCGTCGCCGGACAGGAGGCGGCGGCGGAGGAGACGACGGAGCTGCAGGAGCAACAGGAGCAGCGACCCAGGTGAGCCCCCCCCCCCCCCCCCCGAGCGCCATCGCCCCGCCGCCACGCGCTCAAACGCTCCAACGCCAACCACCCCATATCTGCAGGGCCCTCCCACAGTGTGGACGAGGAGGAGGCAGACGAGTCCGGGGAGGAAGAGGAGGAAGGAGGCAGGAAGAGGCGGAGGTCTGACAGCTACTCGCTGACGTTCGATGACAGCCTGTCCTGGTGTGTGATTGGTGGACTGGGAGTCGGGCGGGACAGCAGCCAGTCGTCGGACTCACACAGCACAGTGAGTGTCTCACACACACACACACACACACACACACACACACACACAACCTATGTGCTGGTATATTCTGACTGGGCTCTAACTTGAGGTGCTTTTGTGTGTGTTCAGTCGGAGAGGTCAGACGTCACAGTTGCAGCTTCAGACTCCGACAGCGACAACTTTAGTGTTGAGTTTGAGGTGGAGTCCATCGATTCAGACGATTATAACGAAGACGATGCCTCTCTGTCTGCAGATGACCAGGTAAACCAGTCCCTCCAGTAAGTCAGCCCATGTGGGATGTTTGTAGGTACCCAAAGGGCCTCTGGGTGAATAGTCATACTACACTCCCACTCTGAAGCATGTCCCTGTAATTTGCTTAGACTTCTGCTACTCAGGAGGAGGATCAGGAGCCTCCAAAAGTCCCACTGGAAGTTCCAATGGTTTAAAGGCAGCTTGTGACCCATTTGAAGCTAAAATATACAGTACACTGTTGTTTTTCATCTTGACCCTGTAAAATTTTGCAGAAATTTCCATTTAAAGCCCTCCACCAGTGAAGTTAGAGCTCCATGAATAACCCTTTTATACTTTTGTTTAAAAAAAGAAAAAGAGCAAAACAGTGCTCTTCTGTCCGGTGTGAAGACTGAGCCAGTGTTCCGTAACACTTGTAGCTCCGGGAGGATCGGCTCCCGGATAAAAACAAACACACTCTGCATCTGGGAATAACCTGCGTGGCTTGTGTCCAGGTGTACGAGGTGACCATCTTTGAGGCGGAAGACGAGGACTCCTTCGACGAAGACACGGAGATCTCCGAAGCTGTGAGTGTCGGACCCTACCAGGGCGCGGAACCCGGAAGCTCGCCCGCGGTCCGGCCTAAGTGTGTGTTCTCACCTCAGGACTACTGGCGGTGTGTGAAGTGCGACGAGCTGAACCCCCCCCTGCCCCGAAACTGCCAGCGCTGCTGGACGCTGCGAGACGATTGGCTGCCAGAGGCCACCGGCGACCCCCCAGCACCCGGCCCCAAGCCCCTCCCCCTGAAGCCAACCAGCCAATCAGCTGCCAAAGAAGCTCCAGGTACTTTCCAGATTCACAAAGAAGCCCATTTTGTTTGCCCATCAGGGGTCCTCATCCTTCAAGTTTTAGTTGGAGAAATATGTGTGTGATGATATGCGTTAGGCTTTAATCCCCCCTAGTTAAAGTCGGCAGGTGAGAATTTTTGAACAGATATTGAACTTTGTCAATATGCACAAAATGCAATAATCCCAGTAGAAGTGTTCCGTAGAACAACTTGAATTGGATAAATGTAATTTCAAGAACTTTTCTCCACATTAGGATGGATTTGTGGTGTACTCTCTAAAATAGATTTCCTCCCAAAATGAGGCACCTTTGAGCACAAGTGTCTTCTTAAGTCATTAGGTCTCCTGCATTTCACCAGTCTAGGGATGATCAGGCAAATCCAGTAGTTTGAGCATCCAGCCAATCAGAAAAAGGCATCCCAGGAGAATAAGGCCAGCTGCGTCCTCATGCTGCCCCTCATGTGGCAGCGGTCACACAGATGGGAGTCAGTGGCCAGGTCATGTGATTCAGACTGGCTGCTGACTGCTCTCCTGCTTTTTTTTTTCTTTTACCTGAAGGTTCTGACGTGGAAGACAATGAAGGAGTCGACGTTCCGGACGGTAAAAGAGCAAAAACTCTGGACTCTCAGAGTCCGTCCAACTCCCAGGAGCTGCTCTCGCCCTCCCAGCCCTGCTCCTCCTCCTCCTCCTCTTCCTCACAGGAGAAGCTCTGGACTCCAGACTCCCAGCCCTCCTCCTCCTACTCCTCCATCGACTCCCAGGAGCTCCTCCCCTCCTCCCCCCC